AACGCATTATTACACGGTATTACACGTTATTACATAAGTATTACAGGAAGAGTGTACAGTTGACTACCTGAGTAAAATCCCCCTCAAGCATAGTCAATATCGTTCGAAGACATATACTGATAATTTAATAGCATATGAGGAGGTCAATCAAATAACTCGATTCGCGTTCGAAACATCGCCCTTATGGTATTTCGACGCATCAAAAATAGTGAAAAATTAAAATTCAAAATTTTAATTTTTTGAAAACACTATCTTGTAGGGAATAAAAAAACACAACTTTTTTCCTTAATACTTTTTTTTGTAGAACCAATGTTAATTAAATTAAAAACATCAAAAAATTTTTTTTCAAATTGAATTAAATTTTTAAACATTAATCATTGTTTTGAAGTCGAATTTTAATGAATTATTTTTTATTGTAAACAATGACCTGTCAGTAATATATTTTTCTTACTTTCGATGAGGAAAAGTCTGTGGTGAAGTTTTGAATTGATCAAACTTCCAGTTAGAAAGTTGTTCCTCGGTATTCAAGGAAGTTTTATGGAAAATTTCAACAAAATTTATTAAAAAATAAAAAAGTTATGCAATTTTTAAAGAATAAGCGTCGCGTGACACATTCGCTTCAATAGACAGTACAGTGCTATAAAGGTTATAGCACCTTCATAGTCACCTTTATGTTATTAATTTATTTTTTCTATTATTAATATTTTTATTAAATTGTTATTAACTATTATTCCTTCGCAAAAAATTATTATTATTTATAATAATAATAATAATAATAATAATAATAATAATAATAATAATAATAATAATAATAATAATAATAATAATAATAATATCTTTATTGGGCCCTACGGCCTATATCTCAATACAATAATATAAAATAAGGTACATAAAATTGAAAAGATGTATTCAGTGGGAGTTACTGTTTTCTTTTCTTTCTTTCTTTTTTACAAATTAAGTGTAACCGAGTATTCGTTCCTTTAGCATAACTTCAATCATTCTTACAAATTTTTTTGCTCTTTCTACACAATCCGTGGACAAGATTTCGCCCCATAGCGCTGCCGGACTTGAACTCGACATATATTCCGGAAAAAAGCGCTCCTTTATGTAGTTATATCTAGTGCAATCCACCAAGAAGTGAGCGAAGCTCTCTTTTCTCTCATCACACCACATACAATGTTCTCCCTTCGGCAACTCTACTCTAGCAAAACCCGTCCACAAAAAGTTATGATATTTGTTTACAAGTCGCAGTTGCGCAAACAATCTCTTTGACGATAGATTCATTCTCTTCAGTAGGTAGGGCTGGGGGCCGGGATACAGGCGAACAAATGGCCAGACCTCAAGGCTCGTCGATTTCTCTCGGGAGCTCAAATCTAGCTTTAAGCAGAATTTCTCAAAATTAAAATTAACTCGAACAGCATTAGCCGATATCATCTCTAGCGAGCCTGCCCCGTCAAAAATATCCCCGTGGAAATCCTCGAGGATTTCCTCGTGTCAAATTTGGACGGAATTCCTCGAGGATTTCCACGCGGATTTTGTACTCTAATTTTTTTGTCCGTATTTCAAAAATCCGTAAGGAATCCACGAGGATTTTATACTTTAATTTTTTCGTTTCTTTTTTAATAATTCTTACGGAATTTACGAGGATTTTGTAGTTTAATTTTTTCGTTTCTTTTTTAATAATTCCCACGGAATCAACGAGGATTTTGTACTTTATTTTTTTTTGATCTGTTATTAAAAATCTTCACATATTCCACGAGGATTTTGTACTTTAATTTTTTGTCTGAATTTCAAAAATCCGCAAGGAATTCCTCGAGGTTTTCGAACTTTGAAATTCAATTTTTTCTCTTTGTACAAATCCTCGTGGATTCCTTGCGGATTTTTAAAATACAGACAAAAAAATTAGAGTAAAAAATCCTCGTGGAAATCCTCAAGGAATTCCGTTCAAATTTGACACGAGGAAATCCTCGAGGATTTCCACGGGGATATTTTTGATGGGGTGATCTCCACAAGTCAACCTCCCCTCCCTCCACAAAATAAGGCTTCAACTGACCGAACCAATTGCCCCCGCCAGACGCCGGGTCCGTGCGCGCCATTGCCATAAGTCTCAACAAGCACTGCCTTGGATACCGAGTATTTTCCATTCTTGCAATTTTTCCAATCCAAGACAGCGCCCTGCCGAGCACTTTACACGACAACGGCAGGACACCTGCCTCCAACCGGACCGCATAATTTGCCGTGCATGGAGGGAGATGAAGCAGATTCTTAAAATACGCCAACTGAACTTTCTCAACATCCGTTCCCCGATCCACGCCCCAAATCTCAATCGCGTAAAGAAGAGTGCTACAGGTCAAACTACTGAATAGCCTCGTGTACGTAGACCATGTGTCCGCCTGCAGCCCATTTATTATCTTCAATGTAGACCCCGATGCAGCTTTAGCCGAGCTAACAAATTTTCTACTGGCTAGTTCGAAAGAACCTAAACTTTGGAATATTACTCCTAAATACATATAATCTTTTACAACTTCGATTTTTTCGTTTCCTATCTTAAATGCTTTGAAATTTTTAACTGAGTTGTTTGCGCCTTTTCTAAAGATTACAATTTTCGTCTTTTTTACGTTGATTTTCAGTAATTTCTCTCTACAATATTCAAAGAGGGCAGTCAGTTGTCTAACCAACTCATTAGGGGAATCTGATAATAAAACTAAGTCGTCCGCGTACGCGAGGACCGGTACCTCAGTCGAACTATTAATCGAAAGTCCTCTACATCCTTTGTTTCGCAGAAAAATTTCCAAATCGCTGATAAATAGGGAGAATACATGGGGGCTAAGTACTTCGCCTTGCAAAACACCTTGAGACACCCTAATATAATCGGTTGATCCTTGCCAAGTTCTGATACTGGCGGACGCCTTTTCATAAAAGTCCTTCAAAAGATTTATAAATTTTGAGCTTATGCCAATTGAGTGTAATTTATGCCACAAAATATCATGCGCGACTGAGGGGAAGGCGCTCTTAAAGTCAATGAAGGCTGCGTAGACAACTCTACCTGGAATTTTTAAATGGATTTGTAGTAAAGAATTTAATGTGAAAAGGTTGTCCACGCAGCCCCTTCCCCTTCTAAATCCCGATTGGAATTCGGGTATCACCCGAAATTCCCTTTCCCACCTCAAAAGTCTGTCCGCCATTATCTGAGTGAACCATTTTACCACAGCTTTCACCAACGTAATAGGACGAAAGTTATCCGGATCATCAAAGTCCCCTTTTTTGTGCAACATACACATAGTTAATTGTCCCCAGGCCTCAGGAACCTTTTCTTGGTCAAGAACTTTATTAAACAAATTTTCCAAAAAGAGAAACCAATTTTCTGGTAAATTTTTAAGAAAACTACAATTAATGTTGTCACATCCAGGGGACTTTGAATCCTTGAAACCTAAAATACTTTTAGTTATCTCCTGCTGTGTTATACTACAATCAAGAATCGGGTGTCTAATATATGGTGCGTCGAAGAAATTCACAACCTTGACAGGATATAATTCTCGCAAATACTGCCACCATACTGCTTCATCGATAGAATTATTTACAGAGTATTTGACTCTTCTCTTATTAACAATAAACCAGAAGTCTTTTGAATTCTTTGTCGCGGCGAGTTGATCAACGAGATTTTTATTGTAGGATCTTTTCTTTACAGGCATTAATTTTCTGTATACAGATTGTGCTTCAATAAATGCGGTTCGAAGAGAAACATTAAAACCTGAATCCCTATATGCTCGAAAAGTTACTCTTAGCAAGAATCTCGCATTGCGACATTCGTCGTCAAACCAAGGCTTACTCGTCATAGAATTAATATCGTGTTGCTTGACAATCTTCCTCATACCCAACTCAGTCGCAACCTCTGTAATTGTAGATACCATCAAATCATTCATAACGCCCGTATCCCCACCCGCGTCGACATCCAACTCCCCTCTCCATCTCATAATATCTGCGTATTCCTCAGCTTTAATAAAGTCAAATTTCAATTTTATAATCTGCGTACTCTGATTCGCAGACACCTGAGACGGGGAAGGGACGTCCAGGTAAACCGCTACGGGGAGATGGTCAGACAATGTATCCCACTCTAGTACCTCAAAGTCGCATAGGAAGGGCGAAGCAGACAGTGAACCCCACACCAAATCTATTACGCTAGAACCATTTCCCCCAATATGCGTAAACTGCGCTGGCACGTCACTCAATGATCTTCCATTACACAGAAAGAATTCATTTCCTTCCAAACAATCCACCAGCATTCGCCCTCTACTATTCACAGTTAAATCTTTTGATAATCTCGATGATGAAAAGGAACGGTTAGAAATCACATAATCATCATAAGAGTTTAAGTTCCCTACGCGACAGTTAAAGTTCCCCCCAACAATAATCGGAGTGTCGTTAAATGATGAACGCAACTCAAAAAGTTTACAATTAAAATTATTTAAAAAAGAACTAATATCCGACAATGGAGAGGTATATACAAGGACCAATAAAAAAGAGAAGTCATTGATTAAAACATTAATTACAATAAAATCAGACTCTGCTATGACTAACTGAGAAGAAAATATTTTCTTATCCAAGGCGATAATCAAACCTCCCTTTGCTCTCCCTCTGCTTGCCTCCCTGACTGATGGTATCTTGAAAATGCTCATAGTATCTGGAAGCCTTGGCACCATCGCACGACCATCCTCCAACCACGTTTCACATAAACACAAAATGTCGTGATGATGTATTTGGGGTTTTAAATCCTCAATGTTAGCGTAGCCGTGCGCATTCCAGAAAAGAATCCTGAATTTGGCACCAACTGATGAAGATACTTTACGGGAATCGGAGAAATGGCACCTAACTTGATGTATCTCTCGGGATGTTGATAGTTGACTCGTTGCGTGTTGGCTTCTCTGACTTTGTGAGTGATCGCGGAGTGCATCAAATTGAGATGTGCTCCTTCTTGAAGAATACACCTTTCCCTCTATTTGCTATTCTTTTCCTGGGACAACCGCCAAAGAATCGCGAATTTTGTCCGTTCGAAAAAACTGTGTTAAGGGTTTCATATCTTTGATTGCCTTGGGTTTAGTGGAACCTACAGAGCGCCCTCTCTTGACTTCTTTCTCCTGTTGTTTTAGTCTGCGCTTCTTCCTAGGTGTTGCGGTTATTCCTGTTGCCACTTCCTCTAAGTCTGACTCATCACCCCCCACCTCCATGTCCTCCTTCTCAGCAGCTGTGATAGTTTCAGATTCTCGTTGTAGATCTTTTACGGAGTAAGGTCTGTTTTCAATGATAAGATAACTTCCCCTTAATTTTGTTTCTTGTCCTTGCTCCCTCAATCTAGACTGAAATTGTAAGAGCAGCTTGCGCTCTCTTCTTTCATCTTCCGTGAGGTCATTGGAGATTGCTAGTCCCAGCTCGCGTAAATCCTTCGCGCTGCGAAACAGGAGTGATTTCCATCTCGGTGATGTAAAGCGCACCATTACGGGTCTCGTTCCACTGGACTTTCCGAATCTATAAATAGACTCGATGGCATGTTCCGGAATCTCCACTTTTATCGCCTTGAAGATCTCGGAAATCGAGAGATATAAGTTTTTATTGAACTTTTCCTCGTCTTGCAGTTTAAAAATTAAAAGATTTTTATTTCTTGACTCCCTCTCCATTGACAAAAGCCTTTTTTTCAGTAGGCCTACTGTTGTACATAAGTCGTCGTGTTCTGAAGCAAACTTCCGTTGGTCCTTTTTCATTTCATCGATATCTCTGCTCATAATGGAATACATTGACTTCAATGACTTGACTTCTTCGTTTGTATCAGTAACACCTGCGCTGATTTTCACTAACAGTTCTCTGTCAGAGAGTTTTTCGTCAGCCATTGTTATTGTATACACAGTGACCGTTCAAGGTTATTCAGTAACTATCGTTTCGAAAATTGTCACCAACAGGCACGCACCTCACAATTCACAAATATTCATCGGCCTGAAAACGAAACAAAACCAATGTATAAGATAAAAATACTAAAAAATGTGTGCAAGAAAAATTTGTACAAATTAAAAAATTTATGAAATAAAAACACATGTATAAACAGGGAAAAAAATGACGGACATATTAACCATAAAAATATTAATAATAAATATAATAAATAATTATTTATTTATTTATTCAAAGTATACGGGCAGTGCCCATTCGTACAGTGTACTATGATACGATAATCCTAATTTAAACAAAATTAATAAGCCGCGCTAACATTATTGTTCCCATCATACATAAAATTACGCAGTTCAATTATAAACTTATTTAAAGAAATACCAAAAAAGTTAACACTCATACTACACTGATTTGCCTCCTTACATAATCTGTTGATCACAGAATTGTTCAAATAGTTAGTTTTATTGAAAGGAATGTGAAACAATTGTTGATGTCTTGGAGATTTTAGGGTATATGCAAATAAAATAGACTCAGCAATTCTGCACAATTAATTATGCCGTTAATAATTTTAAACAAGAAAAGCATATCGGCGTATAAAAATCGCTGGGATAATAACGGAATATCAAATTTTGTATCTTAAGTCTATGTAGTCATGATTATGATAATCAATTGGTACACCAGTCTGTTTAGCCATAAAACGAAGAAATCTGTTCTGAACACGTTCGATATCAGTTAACAGGTAGCTCTGATAAGGTTTCCACAGTACAGAGACGAATTCAATTATAGGCCTAACTAGTGCGAAGTACAATTTTTTCAATACAAAAGGATTTCGAAAACATTTATTAATAATTAATTATTAACAAATAATTATTAATAAATAATTATCATTATTAATTGTTAAATAATAGTATTAATGACATAAAGATGCTATAAAGGTGACACCTTTATAGCACTGTACTGTCTATTGGAGCGAATGTGTCACGCTGCATTTATTCTTTAAAAATTGCATAACTTTTTTATTTTTTAATAAATTTTGTTGAAATTTTCCATAAAACTTTCTTGAATACCGAGGAACAACTTTCTCACTGGAAGTTTGATCAATTCAAAACTTCACCACAGACTTTTCCTCATCGAAAGTAAGAAAAATATATTACAGACAGGTCATTGTTTATAACAAAAAATAATTAAACAATAAATAATTTTTGAAGTTTTTATGATTTTTTCAGTTTCAGCAGACCCAAATGAACTTGTATAAAAAATTGCAAGTTAATTCATTAACATTTGACTTCAAAACAATGATTAATGTTTAAAAATGTAATTAAATTTGAAAAAAAAAATTTTGGTGTTTTTAATTTAATTAATATTGATTCTACAAAAAAAAGTATTAAGGAAAAAAGTTGTGTAACTCTAATTCAATAGTATTCTGCTTTTAATTTTAAAGTATTTTAGATAAATTTGATAGCAAAATGAATAAAAATTAAATATACATAATGTTAAAATAAAGAAAGTACGCTTTAGTTTCAAATAAACTAAAATTTGACATTATAGCATAATGCTATCAATTTTAAAATACTTGAAATTCGTTTGATAGTTAAAAGAAGTAAGATGAACACTACACAATGTTGGGAAGAAAGAGTATACTTTAGTTTTAAACAAATTGAAACTTGACTTTTATATCATGATGCTATCGTTTCAATTATATAAAATGTTACTTTTTTAAACAAATTATTAATTAAATAATTTCATTTTCTTAAAATTCTTTTGTACACATATTATGAAATTTCTTTGTTTTATACATTTACATACGCCCAAAACATTTCGGATTCTTAATTCATAAGTGCATTTTATACTCATTTAGTCGCATTTTATCGCATGTTACTTATTTCGGAAACCTAATTTCGAAGAAAATTTGAATGGACAAGGGATCGAAACCGAGTTCGCCGCGCACAAGCTAAAACCTGCAACCACTAACCTAACCAAACACTAAACACAAAAAAAATCTTCTCCATACTCTGAAAAAAAACCTTCTTGTGTGAAAGAGCTCTTATTGGTCAAGGCAAATGGAGGGCTATTTTAAAAAAGTTTTAGCTGGAATATTAGAATCTTCTTTTTCTAAATAAATGCAATACTTAGTTAAATATCGAAATAATATTGTAAAACTATAGACTTAGTAAAGAGGTTATTATCAAAATTAATAAAATTTTTTAAAATTATCAATTAAAAATTAATAAATTATTAAAAATTAAATTAAAAATTTTTTTTTTGATAATTTATAAAATTTTATCGATCACTTTAAGTCAAGGAATAAAATTTAATTTATACTTATAAGACAAAAATTTATTATTAATAAATGATTAAATTATTTTTTAAAGCCAAAAAATGTTATAATAATATTAATATTGTAAAATTACATTTGTAATATTGTAAGTAATTATTATTATAAATTAATTAAATTTTTTACCGAAAAATTTAGTTTTAAATTATCAACTAAAATGTAAATTCATTTTAATTTGTCAAATAATTTGTACACGGAGAAAATTTATTCTGTAACGATTACAGAACTGCACCGTACTGCTCGGACGAAGTGACCACTTTTGTGATGGTTACAAAGCAGTTCTAATATTTTTAAAAATAGACCTGCTTAAATTACAGAACGTATCTGTAAATTGTCATAAGCGCTCCTGTAATCGAGATTTTTTTTTGGTTTTGCAAACAGTGTTGTTTAGACTTGAAACGATTACAGAACTGGCTTGTAGCGCTTTGAGCAGTGACGTGTCGTGACGTCACGAGCTGATCGCGTCTATCGTCACAACGGCTCGCGACTAATCGCATCAAAAACATAAAGAGAAATAAAATCTCCGACATAATTTTATTTTTTAAAAATAAAATTTTTGACAACAAATTTATGGACTGTTATTCATTTTTATATCCCTGTTAAAATATATTAAATTATTAAGTAAATTTTAATATATATTTAATATTTTTATTTAATGAAAAATATAATTTTAATTAATTTATAAACATATATAGTATTCTTATATATAAATAATATATTTAAATATATTATAATATTATTTATTAGAAAATATAAATATCAAAAACAATTGCTTTAATTAAAATTTGTAATAAAATGAATTAGTTTATTTTAAAAATATAAGTAAAATACTACTTTCTTGCTATATGAAAATTGACCTTGTTAATCATAAGAAAGATAATAACAGTGAAAGGTTAATTTTTGTTAAATAAATAAAGTTTTGATTATTTATAAAGTTTCTCAGAAGCGCAAAAGAATTTCTGAAGTTAGTATATAAGAGCAGTTCAAAATATACTTTGTATCGCGGTTGTAATAGTGCGTGCGTATTAATAATGTGTTAGTTTAGGTTAGGATTATATATACAAGCGAGCGTATTGAAAATATATATGTGTGTGCAGTGTGAGTGAAAACAATACTCGAACGAAGGTGACTACGAAACCGGTTATACGTGAGTAAATTCGTAGAGAATATATATATATTTTTTTTGCTTCCGAGCGAATTAATGTTTGGAGCTGCAAAAATTACAGAACTGTCTGTGAATGGCACGTTCGCTCCGCGCAGTCGCAAGCGTCGCCAGAGTCATGCTAGGTCTTCCTTATTTTACAAGACTGATCTGTAATGAATAAGGCTACGCTCATATGTTTTTCCACTTCTAAACCTGTATTTATTAATATATACTTTTATTTAATTTTTAATGTTTATGGCATTTTGTCCGAGCAGTACTGTACCAGTTCTGTAATCGTTACAGAATAAATTTTCTCCGTGTATAATTGAGATTTAATCAATATCCATTAAATTAAAATAAACTTTTTATATTAAACCAATGGAATAAAAGTTAAATAAAAAAATATTAAAATTGACACATCCCGTGTAGAAAATGAAAACTGGTCTTACCTTGGTGCTATCTATTTTGCCCTATTATTAACTAGGTCCAAGTTTGGCATTCTAGCTTGGTCCTACAATGTTTTGTGATGCGATTTTAGCCTGGTCCTAACTTGGGTGCCTAGTTAGAACCAGTTTTAATAATAAATAATAAATAATCTAAAAAATTAATTTTAACCACAATTAATACTAACCTTCTAAAAGGAATATCCTGTAAGTTTTAAATTAAATTCTGAGAGTTGAATTAAAATTTGAACTCTACGGGAATCGAATCCCAGACGCATGACCTAACAGACCTAACGAACGCTTTAACGACCGCGGCTACAGAACCTAATTAGATATTTTTATTTGATTTGTCTATATAAATTTTCACTATATATTTTTAATTCTATTTTACAAAAATACTTAAAATCATCCAGAACTTTCACTGTTAGTGTTATATGTTGTCAAATAATGGATTTAAAACATTATGCTGCATTGTTTAATTGTTTAAACAATTTATTGTTATTTATTTTAACTTTTTTTGTAGTGCACCTTGAAAGATGCAGTTTTTCCCTAATTTTATAATAGGAAAAAATACTGCATTTTTCTAGGAAAATTATAAAAAATGTTAATAAATAGAAATAATTATTTGTTTAAACAATTTAACATAATAGTTGTTGCAAATTTAATTCTATATTTTATTTTATTTATAACCTTTAAATTAATAACTATCTATGTATATTTAAAAAAGCTATAAATTATGAACAATAAATTGTTTAAACAATTGTTTAAACATTTCCGAAATGAAACTACGTTCATAGCCTTATATAATTCTCTAATATTATCGAAGTTTAGATATGCTTCCTCTGTGTGGAATCCTTATTTTGAAAAGTATAAATTGGAACTGGAACGAGTCCAAAAGCGTTTTTTAAAATGTTTGGCGTTTAAGGAGGATGGTTCGTACCCCTTATCTGGCTCAAACTACATTAGTTTATGTAACAGATTTCATTTTAAAACTCTAGCTGCTAACAGAATTTTTGATGATATTATTTTTTTATTAAAGATATTGAACTCGCAAATTCATGCGCCTGAACTACTACTGCAAATACCTTTTAGAATACCGAGATTACACTCTAGAAATGACAAACCGTTC